CAGGGTCTCTTTTAATCTTTTGTTCTGTGGTTCTAAATCTGACTTATTTGCTTTTTTCTATTCAATAGGAACACATGGCAAGGTGAAAACACTGGAGGATTCCCCCAAATCATGACAATCCTTTTATACATATTGAAACAAACTCTGGAAGAACGTTTGGTGGTCTTACTTGTTCCTAGTTCACTTGATCTCCCTTCCTCAAACACGCCCAATCCCTTATCTTGCAAAGCAGCAATCTACATGACGACTGTTAATAAAAGATATCATAGTTTTGTTCAGTTAAAGTTTTGTTTGCTCTTGCTTTTACATTTCTGGTTTCGTTTCTTTAGCTGGAAGCAGTATGACAGTTCCCTCTTCTTATCTTCTATCAGCTAAATTATGACCTTTATATATGCACATTGGTGTTCCTCCTTTAGTCACGTTCCTGTAGCAAGAATGGAACAAATTCCAGCCGACAGACGCCAATACCAAATGTCCTTTAGCGGTTTCCATTTATGTGAACATGAGCACATATTACTAAGCTTCCTAAAATTGGTTCTACGCTACTCAGAGAGGTTTTCAGTTCAATAATAAGAAAGATTGACAAATTTCACAAATCCCCATGCAAGGTCAATGCGTTCGCTCATACTACAGAATTTTATAGCAGACAACGTGCCCGCTGAAAGATACGTTCATTAAAGTAAACCTGCGCCAAGAAAATATCAAGCAATCTGTGGCTTTTGACCAGAAAAAATGTCGAACGTTAACAGTACCAAAATAACTATAATATGAATAAGCATATTTGATTAAACATTTATAGAAACATCAAAAGTCATAGCATTATTGGTACTTCACATTGAACAATGTATTGGCTCCTTTTTCTGGCATCCATAAATCCACCAATGCAATGCATCTTAGCTGGAACTGTGAGGATTATGTCCCAATCTACCACTGACCAGATAAACATAATTCAACATATTCCTATCCAAATCTTTGTTTTAGGCCAGAGCTAGACAAATACCAGAAGCCAAATCACCAATGCTCCTTAAAAATTACAGCCAGCACCTAACTTTTGAGATTTTCTCTAGTTTTTGTCAATGGAGCTAGAACAAAATTCCACTGCCATTTCCAAAAAAACAACTTCCTCTATGTGAAAACAATTGATTTTTTGAGGGGTATCTGCATGATCAGACACCAATGGAATGCAGAAAAATTCTAAAATACAGCCTTTTTGTTTACACCACCCTACACCTCTGCATGTCACTGCTGGCAGCTTTAAGTCATACGAAACAATAAAAAAAAAGCGTGCATCCTTTAAAGCAGTGGTTCTCAACCTTTGTAACCTCAGGACCCACATTTGTCCTTGTCATTAAGTTGCGACCCAAGTTGCACCGCACTGAAACGCACAACATTACGGTACCGTGCATTCTGGGTGATCGAAATGTGGGCAGGAGGTGCGTTTGGAGTGCCATTCAAATGAATGGCAATGCAGTGCACCTCCTGCACCAGAATGCACCGTAGGTGCAATTGCGTGGTACAGTGTGATTAACGCACTGTACTAGTGTGAACAGGCCCTCAAATACACTGACAGACATCATTTCACACACTCACAGACATTCTCACACAAACTCCCCCAAAAAATGTTTTGATCTTTTTTTTTTTTTTAAGATCCACCCAGTCTCCCCACCTTATGAGAATTGGAGTGGATCCTCAGCGGGGGGTCCAGTGTGGACTTTTATGTTGTGACAAAGCTCCATCCATATGTGCGTTGCTTGTAAAGCTCCCTTGCACACCCTGTAGAGGTGCCAGGAGCCAGAATGTGACGTCACTCCAAGCAGGGCATGCAAGGGAGCTGTAAGCAATGCTCGTATGGATGGAGCTCCCTCGTGGCCATACCAACTGGCCCAACCCACCTCAAGTGCCGACAGTGCTACACTAAGGGGAGGCAGAGGAGCCCATCAATTAGCGCAGTGGAAGGCAAACGGCAACCCATTGAACACGGGGTTGCGACCCACTGCTGTAACCCTCCCCTGCTCTGCAATCTAAATAACTGACTTGTGTTTTAGCTTTTTTCATTTGTACAGTCAAGTCTGCCCCCTGCCTCCATTCTTGCCGAGGTGAGAATGATGTCAACCCCGCTACCGAAGCCTCCTGGTAGATCCACGTGACATATTTAAGGAGGCATCAGCATCTACAGTGGCTGGAGGAGGGACAACCAGGTGATGTGTCATCAGGGGGCTGGTTGCTGAAAAGCCAGCTCTCAATGATGTCAGAGAGTAGGGATGGCCGAGCGGGACCCAGTGTGTGGCAGCAGAATGGCGGATCACAGCAGAACACATGATTTAATGGGCAGCTGAATATACTTATTCAGGATAAAAAGGTAAGCGACAAAAAAATTAACACATGGGTGTGAAGTTCCCCTTTAAATCCCTACAGATATGAATCTCCCCATCAGCCAATAAATGGTTCTGTGCATTTAGAAATATATAACCTATAGCACTAGTAATAATATACAACATACAAGGAACGTGGTGCCTTTCTGTGCTTGTTTCCTTCATCTCCCCAAAGAGCACTCCACTCCATATGCCAACAACTAATTTATAATGGCCATTGGGCAATTACCAGGAGATCTCATTTGTATTCAGAGCGGAGTACCTTTAAAAAAAAAAAAAAACTGTTTTGCAGCGTGTTTGTGCATATGTACTGTATATTACATTTTTCACCACCTTCGGAGTTCTTTTTTAATGTAAATTCAAGATTACTCATTTTTCCCCAGGCACAGGTCCAACATAAACACACATGCTTGTACTGACTGAGCATGCATGCTTATGCACTGTGCTGACAGCTATGTACCAGTCCTATCTTTCGGGAACAATATCAAATGGAAAACAAAAAATCCAGTAAGCAAAGATGGAAAATCAAGATGCCAACAGAGTCACTGTGAGTAGAATTAGAAACATTCCCCCGTCACAGACTATAGCCCGTAAAAAATAAACAGTTGCTTTAAAAAACCACTTGAGGTCGCTATAACCGTATAAACATGAATTCATCAATTGCTTAGGACACATTTACATCATGTGTGTTGGGCAGCGTTGCTCAACGCAATAACAAGTTAAATTACTTTGCTTTCAATATGCCAAGTTCACAATAATGCAATGCTGCGCTAGGCAAAGGTCATGCTGTATTTAAAGGGACCACAAAATAATTAGGCTTCTGTTGAGGTAAAAAAAAAAATGCACAGCAACACAATGGGCTAAAGAAAAGCACATCAACGTGCGGTAAACGCAACATAGTATACATCAAACCTTACTCTACATTTAAACAATAACCACAAACCAAACTAAAATTACATCGTTAAATACCTTTTCTATATAAGCTTACCACATAAATGGCTAGGGCTTTCCTTCGAGTCAAACTCATGCTTCAAGCTCATTGGAGAGCTCTCGCTCTGACGCAGGGTGCCTGTCGCACCTTTGCAGAGAGAACAGAGCTTGCCCACAGATCCCAAGTCGGATTTCATATTGCAATACTGCACCACAAACATGGCAGGTGGTTGTGGCAGTCCCAATGGACTACAATAATTGCGTTTGGCAAATGCCACATTCTGCATAAAATTTGTAGTGGCTGTTTTAGGTGGGTGGTCTGGGTGGGGCTGTAAAAACATGGATCAAACCCCCTGTTTTTACTGACTATTTGCCATCTTTGTAAACGGGGCCCTAGTGGAATTGCATTTGCTGACCCGGCCACTCACTTGTAAATTGTGGGTTTCTAAACTGTGCCGGCACACAGTGCTCACTCAGCCAGCTCCCACAATTTAGTGTATAACACAGGCAACTGACATGTCGATCACAGTAGGGTAGGTAGTGCTGGGCTGAAAATACTCACATGGATAAGCAATGGCCACTCCACACAGTACAAGCATCCTTGGGCAGATTTGTGATACAGAGAAGGATAAAGCAGAGTGTCTGACCAGATTACAGAACGTGCTCACCAGCATGGCCAAGCTGTCACCTACTGGGATGCACAGGCCTATTTAGACATTGTGCAACTGGTAAAAAAAAATGGAGATGACTGGAAAAACAGAGCTTCTTAGTACATCCAATTTCAGCCTGACTTAATATCCATCTTTGCAAGTTCAACGACAGGGAGCTGCCAACTGAACTTAACATCTCTGCTGCTATCATTACTCTTCCTAATGCCTGGCTCCCCAATTTAATTAAGTTGAAAATGAAGTTTAGAGGCATGGATTAATTACTAATTGACTGTATTAATGATGAGAGAGCAAACATGATATTAAAAAATTATGAATATTATACTCTTAAGAAGTAATTACCACCCTATTACCGTCAGGTATAATTATAAACCAACAACATTTTCCTCAGTTTGACAGTGAATGCAAAGAAACACAATTTTATAGATCAAGAAATCAGGAATCATGGTAACAGAGGCTGAGGTTAAAACTAGGCCCCTACTCCCTGATGAGCCATAGGGGCTACATGTAGCCTTTATATTATCATGAGCAAATGTGCAA